ATATTGAAACTCATAAGTCGAAAAGAACATGCCATGGCAAAAAACGAAAAACGATCAAAAAACAAATCACAGTATACAAAACACAACATATAAAACTAGACTGAGCAACACGAACCCCACCAAGACCAGGGATGATCGGAAAGGGTAGCAGATCATGCTCCACATGTGGCATCCGTCGTGTTGCTCATTTAAGTACCGACCCGGTGATAAGTCAAAGATGTTTAAAATTAAGAAAGAACATGTTTGGATGAACTTCTCCGTTTGATGGGATTGAAGACGCACTGCAGACACCTAACGAAACGGAAAACGTCATGACTAGAAACTAAACGAATAGCACAACCAAGGAATGATTAAAATAAATTTAGGAGAAAAATTGATTCTATGGTCCTGAATTTCTGTATAAAAAAAAAATCAATTGAAATAGTGATGTAAAGATTAAAAAAGTAAAACAATCACTTTTGAACTTTGAGAGAAAAACAGTATGGTCATGTGGATTGATTGTATAATCCCACATACAAAAACATATCATTTGACAAGGATGAGATTTTGGCGAATCAGAAGTCCTTCATGGCTTCAATGAACATTACATTGAACAGCAAATCTGAGGACTTACATTGTTTTGATTTTTCAACCCTGTATACCACCATTCCCCTTGAGAAATTGAAAAATCGTCTTCAAGAAATAATCCACAATGCTTTTTAATATAAAAATGGTAGCATACGCTATAAATTTAATATTTTGGAATACCATATACGGCGTATTCTGTTAATATTGAACAAAAAGGTAAACATGCTACACAGAAGAAAAAGTCATCAGTATGCTGGAGTTTCTTATTGACAACATATTTGTTGAATTTAGAGGTAGACTTAAACAACAATTGTCGGCATTCCTATGGGAACGAACTATGAGCCTCTCCTTGCCGACCTCTTTTTATTTTCATAAAAGTCTGTTTTCCTTCAGACACTTGTCAAAAACAAAAAGATCAAAGAAGCCATATCATTTAATATCGTATTTAGGTATATTGATGATGTTTTTTCCACCAAAAATCCAAACTTTTCTGATTGGGTTCAATTAATATATCCTCCAGAAACTAGAAAATTAAAGAAACAACAGACACGGCTTCCGCCACCTACTTTTTATACTTATACCTCGAATTTGACATAAGCGGTCATCTCAGTACCAGAATCTATGATTTTAATTTTGAAAATATCAATTTCCTCCACCTTAGTAGCAATATACCAACTTCACCTGCATATGGGATACACATTTCCCAACTCATTCGGTATTCAAGATGATGAACCAGGGTTATGTCAAAGAACGTCTTGCCCTTTTTCTAAAACAGTTCATCGGAAGATGCCAAGACCTTGTTGATAAATATTCCATATCAACTTCACAAATAGTACATGATGGTCCTAGGTATTGACGTTGTTTATCATCTTAATTACATGTTAAAGTGTTCTTTTATTTAAAATTAAGATTCTAGGTACTGACGTTGTTTATCATCTTTTTTACGTGTTCTTTTATTTGTAAATTATTGCCTTTCCTGTTTCGTCCATTTTTTGTAATATCCTTTTGGCCTTGCTCAGAACTTATACATCCTGTTATTGTGCTATGGTCATTTTTTGTATTCTTGTATTTCATTTTTGCTTTGTCTATATGCCATTTTGTAATTCTTTGTTGAAATAGTTATTTGTTTTTATAGAGATTAAGATTATAACACAATGCTGACTGCTGTTTCCCAATTTTTGACATTTTTACCTATTATGTTTGTTTGCTTTGTTCACACATTGTTGTAAAAATAATGGATTTCTATATGACTATCTTACAAGTGAGAGGTTTAGCTAGTTATAAAACCAGGTTGAATCCACCATTTTCTACATAAGGAAATGCCAAAACCAATTCAGGAATATGACAGTTGTTTTCCATTCGTTTGATGTGTTTGAGCTTTTGATTTTGTCATTTGATAAGGGACTTTTCGTATTGAATTTTCCTTAGAGTTCGGTTTTTTTGTGATTTTACTTTTTTTGTACATGTATATTTAGAATAACCTTGATTTAATAGAAAGAATATACTGCCTATAATTTAGAATTAATGATTGATGTCATTCAAATAATTTTTCTTTGAGTCTCTTAAGTTGACCGCCAACGCAGAATTTCTCAAACATGACAATATTAATGAACGAGGAAGAGCACGAAAACAGCGTTTGAACATTCAAAAATCAAATCAAAATTGACAATCTTAACTGAAAAAAAAAAACAGACGACAATAGGAAATGAACTAGATTTTTTTTATAACCTTCAAAGGTAGTTGATGGATTTCAGTAGTTACTTTAAGGAAACTAATATTTAAAGTCTTGATTTGAAATATACGGACGACCCTGAGAAAATCAATATCCTTAGGACTATTTACGGTTCTTGCTGACATAACATGTCTAGGTCGTTACCACTCAAAAAACTATTATAATGCATTATTGAATTACGCAATGTCTGATCAATACACAACAATACTAATTTCAAAATAAGCAGAAAATGATCCGCCCGTTTTACAAACATGGGAGCTAACCAATGCTTTTGTGCTATTCCATAAAAATATTTTGTTAACGGAAGTCATTTAAACAGAATATTCACGTGTATAGTGTACTGTATCTTTTTGTACTTGGGACGAAATAATAGTATATATATTTATATACACAAGTTTTAAGCGCTTTGCAAAAAATATACATGAGATAATATCTTATTTAAAGACGTCATCAGGAACTGTATAAGACTAATAATTTTCAATATTTTACATATTTGTGTACTTATAAACACCACAAAAATATCAAAACTTAGTGATCCATGCAAACATCTATATAATATATATACCATCTTTTCCACAAGTTTATTGTTTTCTGTTTGGTATTGAATTAATATTAAGATCCATTTTGTTAGATCTAGTGATCAATTTATTTGGCAATCACCAATGGCAGTCAGCAGGGTTTAAGAACATCAGTTGTTCGACCTGTTAGTCAAATGCGTTTTGTTATAATAGACTTTTTCACTTTTTTTGGTCTTTTTGGAAATTGTTGTTTGTGCTGTATTTAGACCCCTCTACCAAGAAATTTGTTTTACATGCACACGTATAAAAATTGCGGTTTTTATCCAAGGCAATCATAGGTTTGAGCGTTGTTTTCAATTTAGACTTTTATATATATATATATAATTATATGACTGAAACGTTTTCTTCCAATATATATGTACAATGGAATGTATATATAACAATGAAGGGATGAAGGGAAGTGTCTGGTAAATAATGTTTGAGCCGTTTAACATGTTAGTTTTTCAATTTATAAAAATGCAAAATCTGTTTGAAGAATATGTTTTAAACATATGTTGCTGCATATGATTTCAGCTTACGTGAAAGTAAAAATTCGTCGAGTAATCGATATAAAAAAATCCCTTCGAAAACATAACAAATATTGGTCCTTGGTATAGTTTCAAAGAATGAAACACCTTCCTTCTCTCGGATAGAAATCATACTAGAATATTTATTCAAAGGGTAACATAACACGCCGTCTACACACAACATAATTAACGTTATGATGCAGGTCTAAAAGGCTAGAACTTAATCAAATCAGCATTACTGATTTTGAAACCTTTAATTAATAAATTTATTTCGAAACCTATCACTAGTGGAACTAGTGACCAGAAACTGCCTACCACCTGGAGTTTTAAGTAGGTGTTCAAATCATGAAATGGTAAGTTTTCTGTTATTTTTGGAAAGGTTTTCGTCTGATCGTGATATTAGAATAAAACAGACTTCAAATGCGAAACGCATGCAACCAGGAAGTACCAACAGAATAACAATAGAGCGATTTAAAATTACTAATCATGTTTTTAACTGTAATGAGCAAACAGAAGTTTTAAAGGAAAGAATACGAATCTTACGCTGAAGTTGAATCCGAAAAAGCGCTTCGGACACATAAAATTTTATAAAGTGTTATTTCTCATTTTGTATAATACTGGATCGATTCCGCTGCTGGTGGACTATTAGTCCTCGGGTTACCATCATCTCTATAGTCAGTACTGACATGCTTTATAGCATTCCTTTCTTTAAATTTAGAAACTAATATAAGGTTCGAAGTCCTTCAGTCAAAGTTAACCTTATATGGATTTGGCTATTATTTTAGGTCTCTTTTGATCATTACGCTCTTCCTGTGTTTCGGTACTGCCACAGTTTTGCACCTTAAGCCGAGTAGATATAATTTGTTCAGAATGTGAGGCTTTAACAAACATAGATCCATTGATCTGGTTTTTGGTTGAAATAAAACTAATCCAGCATAATTTCAGATGAACTTTACATTAATGAAATCAAACATGTACAATTGACTGACAAACTTTATTCATAATCAGTACATTTATATCTATATATATACAAGATTTCATAATCATCCAATAAATAGGTGTGGGAAGGTTGACTACGCTTAAGAGCATTTGATTTTATTAAGGTTCATTTGGCAGAAGGTTGACCATTAAAACTTTCTGTTACCAATATAATAAAATATTTATTACGGTTGATTTCATAAAATAATCATTTTGTTTTTATTTTCTGCCAAAACGAAAGTAGGTTTCTAGATCACCTCTCACATATTATCATAACAATAAAAGATTAACTTGGGAGATCGCCGATTGACTTGGAATTCCGTTAAAGGTTGACTCATACAAAACATGCAAAACAAATAGACATATCAACGCCGTAGAAGGTTTAGTTTTTTCTTGAAACTTATAAAACCTGCTAACCAGACTAAAATTATACTTTTTCTCTTACATTTTGTGAAAAGGTTGACTAATAACTAGGGACAGCTTGTAATTAGTTTGTCTTCACTTGCAGACGATGCGACTATATCTTAAGTTGTTTTGTAAGCCTTCTATTTAAACATTTTTGAGTCAGTAGATCAGCCAATCAAAATGTTTGTTATGTAAACAAACAATCTCGTGTAATAAATCGGCAATACACAATGAATATGGCTGCTCTATGTAATTGGCTGCTGCACTGTTGGGATTTGGATTATAACGACTAAAACATGTTATAATACTAAAACATGAATAAGTTAAAAAGGTAAACATATCATTTATAATAAACATGCTTGTCAACCAACCGTAAACAGTGTGTACAAGGAGACATTCTATCGTACACACACCGATAAGAAAATTAACCGAAACATCGGAAATATACAATAACTGGAACAAATTAATGAAAAATGGGATTTTAAGCACGGGAAACATTAATTACACATTACGACTACTAAATTGTAACAATACTCATATTTCCTTGTGAAGGCAAGTCCAGCAAAACGCTTCGGACGCATACAATTCATAACATATGTTCAATCATATTAGCAGAAAACCTGCGTACCGGATATGCAAAAATTGCATATATATGCGGAAGCACGGACAGAAAACAAACAATATTTTGATAACTCATCGTTACTTCTTTATTTAATTTTCTTCTTTTTGAATAGGTAATTAGTCCTTTATCATTAATCTCCTTCACAATTTAAATGACTATGTTACGCACTTTTTTAGGATGGAGAGACAGTTGAATTAGAAGAAAATGGTTTTAATGTTATGGTTACAAATCGTACTGGTGAGAATATAATAAGACACAATCGAGATAGTGATCCGTATTGTATCACAAATTTATAGTTTGAAGTTATATTAAAAAAATCTTTTATTTTTTCTGTATATATTCGTCTTTTGGCATTGCACATAGTCATATCTTCCTATTACGAAATATATCAACCGAGGTTGCTCTCAGTAACATTGCTGTTCTGACGAAAAATCGGTATATCAATTTTTGTGCAACTGAGGTATGAAATGTAAAGCAAACACACGTTTGAATACTGCAAAGAAATACATATCATGTGGTTAAATGTAAGGGGCTACTGATATACATGACACTTAATTATGTTTTGTCATCAAGTCTTATAAGTGAAAGATATCACGTACCAACAGTGGAAAATCCGACACTAAATTAAAATCTTTTCACATCAATTTTGCCAAAAGACCGTATTAATGTTCTGTAGGTAAATGTTAGATATAAGTAAAGTTCCCTAGCAGTTTTCGATATCTTTTTTAAGTTAAAATTTTGTTTTCATAACTTTAGGTCATATCAGCATGTATAGCATATGATATGAAATGTCCAGTAACCAGACAATGGCAGTATAGAGCAAAAAGTTTTTGCACGAATGAGACAAAATATGTATGTTTATTTCATGAAATGAAGGGAAGTTACGAGGAAAGGTGCATAGGACCTGATGGAATCCAAAGAGGTAAGATTTCCTTTGCAAATCAACATTCAAACTACTGTACATGTACACTTAGTCGTACAGAAAGTAGTTACCTCTTTATTGCATCGTATTAACACTTTCAGTAACAATACAGATTAAACAGCAATGTACGCGTTGTTACTTTGATGTTTTGTTCATTCTGGTATTGCCTGTGATTTATTTTGTCTCATACAAATGCACCACATTCCTTTTTTACCATTCCTTGGGATTAATATAATTCATATATTTCTGTACTAGACATCTTGTAGAATTATTTGCCATTGCATTTTAGGTTTTAAACTGGTACTTAGACCAAATGTATTAAACAGTCAATGTGACATTAATCGTTACCAGCCGATTCCATTCTTGACAACAGAAAACAGTGATTGTGTTTATCGAAAATCCGTTTGCAACGATGAAGGACTGATTGTTCACAACATAGGAACAAATGCAAGTGACATAACTTGTCGTTGTGATTATCAAAGAGGATATACCTTTGTAATTAAACCAAAGAACATTTGCTACTGTCTGCCATCAGAAGAAGATTGTTCCTGTTTTCTTATAACATGTGCAAAATTAACATCAGGTAATTCAGTGTATATATGAATAAACCTAGAACATTTGTTTTGGAATTTAAGGAATTAAATAAATTATAATCTTTATACTATATAATCAATATTTTTATTTTTATCACTCTTTTTGTACTTGTCTTTCATATGTGTACAAGATTATTTAAGATATCACAATTACGCCTTAATGGTTATAAAGAAAAGAAATATTCAGTTTTCTATATTTAAACCGGAAACCAATGTTTCCTGAAATTAGTGTACAACGATTTCGTTAACTTTAATTCAAACTTAATTGTTGTAACCAATACCTACATTATTTGTGGGTGGTTTTTTTTTATATAGCTAAACAAGACATAAGAGATCTAAATGAAATAGTTTCTATTAATTCGACCCATGATCTGTTTTTAATTCGCATGGAAAACTTTTACAAGGCTCCTCTGGAAAAAATTTTGGTATTGTATAGAATTTCCGTTACATCTTACAGCAAAAAAATATTGGTTTTACAACAAAAATTATTACACTAAGTTGAGCGATTAATGTAGGGTCAAAGGGATCTTCGCAAATGTATGCCGCAAGCCAAAGAAATGAAGGTTTCCTTTTCCTGCACAACAGTGAATCAACACTCGCATTTGATATACAAATGCTAAATTTTCTCTTGTCAAAATTGTGCATTTTTGTACCCAGCATAGCCGATCATTCTTTTGTTTTGTTTTTGTGACTTGCTAGTGCCTGAAACAATTTGTTTTGTTAATTGATTCTTTTATCAACCGAAAAGGTAACGAATATTGTTATACTTTTAATATTTCGATTTCTTATATATTTTGTATAGATTATGCATGTTTGCAAAACGAAGAGCTTTCCTTAGGACGAAAATGCCCTACTATATCCAATAACTTGTAAGTATAATTTTTTAAATTGCAGTGTTAACACTGCATCAATTTTTATAAATATAATATGAATTAGTACCAGTTTATTTTGGTAACTGTTTACCATGCGGTTTCAAAACAGATAGTACAAATACTTGGAAAGCCTTTTATTTACGTTTTCATATACTAAATTTCTGTTTTACACTTTAATATCAATATCTGCAATATTGAATTTCCGCGTGTACTTCTATTGAAAGGACTATATTTAATGAAATGCTATTTTATGCGAATGAACAATTACTAATTACTTGAAAATTCGTTTTAGCAAAAAAAGTAATTTGGAAGGTAAGTCGGGGTATCGGACACAAAAACTGTTAATTCAGAAATTGTTAGCGATGTTGATAATGTTGCGAAAATTATAACGGAATAGGTTTCGCAAATTTCAAAATTCGCATTAATCATTTTGATAGCATTATTTGTATACAACATTGCCAGAAATCTCAATGATCAGTTTGGCATTTGTGTCCATTATTCAGCAAATGAAATAATAAATACACGCACAAAAACTGAATAAACAGTATTTATAGCATACCGTTGACTTAAACAGAGATTAACATATGTAGCTGGTTCATTTGTTGCAACCTTATATAATTTATATTAATTTACATGTATAAATGGGAATTAGAAAATCGAATATGGACTAATGATGCAAAGAAGCATATTCTTACTATGATTTAGTTTGATAAATCTTCATTCAGCAATACCATAAAAAATGTCCAAAACTTTATAATGAATGTATCTTAGACAATAAAATAATTTAAATACAAAAGTTTACAAATTAAATTTTATTTATAGCTGATGAACTGTGTGATTTTTTGTCTGTTATCTGTTACTTTCGGCGTCGTACCTCTCAATTCACATATGTCCATTAAATATCTGTCGTATATAATTTTACTTGAGCATTGTTCAAGATCATGATTTTCCTTACTTTTTTTTACCAATGTATGGTTGCCAGCTACTTACACATAATGCATATATCTTAATGAAATTGATGTTAATATGACGCATACTAAATTATAAACTTGTTTTTTTTTTTGACAATCGAAATAATGGAATATTCTCATTTATTTTGTCAGTTTACTTATCACCTTAAGTAGTATTAGACAACTTTGAAGTTCTTAATGCTTCTACCAATTACATTAGTTCAATAATCCAAACATCTCATCAACAATGTTTTACTCATTGCTTTCTATCAATATTATTAGAACACATGTAGACATGGTATAGTCGGGTAATAGTAATTGTTTTCTGATTTTTTTTAATGTGGCTATATTTTTTGAACGTTGCTTTGTTATCGATATTCATGAATTGGTTTGACCATATTTATATCTTTAACGTTTCGACAGTCTTTGGTTCATTAAATTGTAAACCAACAAGATCATACATCTCTTGATCCTGATAAAGTCGTATGAATATTATAACATGTACCATGGATTTACTTAGTCATATGACGTACACCTCTTTATCTTTAAGTGCTTTGAGAGCCTCATTTCGATGAAATTGTATTTGTTACATTGTATTATACATAAAAGTATGATTTCAAAGATTATTTTAGTTGAAAAATTTTATGCGTCGGAAGTGAATTATTTTGTTTCTGTTTTAAGAGTTATTATTTGCTTATCATTTTTTTGTATAGTTTCATAGCTTCATTGGTATTTTTGAGCAGTAAAACATGAAAATCATTTAAAATTAAGGAATTTATATATCTCCCTCGAGCATAGCTCTGATTGCCTTTGTGTGTTTGCCAAAACAAAAATGCTTTATGTCCTTTTCAATCCTATCAGCTCTTCGTCTATACGTCTAGCATCACCAAAGAGCTATTAATAGTCGAAACGGCATCTGGTGCAATATAATTGGTACTGTTTACGGCGCTGACCGCCAATTATCATATTATCACAATTGTTTGAAAAATGCTAGCTCTCATTCTATGTATAAATCGTTGTTATCCTTAGCTTCTCCTGTGCATTTAATGTTAAGCTGTCTAAACGCAAAATTCGATTGCAGATACTCTTGTTTAAGGCTGTCTCATTGACTATCCCAATAAACAGCATTAAGTAAGGAAGTAGGCGTTGTATAAAATCGGGTTCAACTTATCACTTTAATTCATTCCATTATTCACTCAGTTTTTGTTTTACTCTGATTTGTCTCTTCTTATTGGATATATGACATTTGAGCATCTTTAAACCATTCCGAAGTGAGGGCTTTGATAGTCAGTATTTAAAATTGTTCCGATAATGACAGTTTAAAAACGTCATAATATAGCCAGTAGATATGGACATTAACTTTTCAGAATATCAATTTATTTTAGTATATTTCTCTTTTCTTAACACTTTATTTGCTTTATTATTTATCTGTATTTAGTAAATGTCATGATTTATATTTTGCAGAACTCAATTAGACAAAGAAGTAGAAACAGTCTTTTACAAAGAGGAAAACGATTTAAAGCCAACGGGTAAATTATTTTTTTGCTGTTATTTCAAATTCTTCTGCACGTGTTTATGAAATCGACTTCTCTTTTTGAAACAATTTGCTAATTGTCTTCTTCACTAATATAGCTATTTATAACTCTCTTGAAAAAGATCACAACTTATTTAGATATTCCATTTTACAACTCATGAGTAAATATGTCCCCCCTCTGTTTTAATCGAATAAACTATTTCGTCAAATTATTTTGTCTTATAGAACTGCGTTTTCCTGTTTTTTATTAATCAAATCCCATACTTCCTTTCAATAAAATTTAAAGTTATTGCATTATGATTGTATCATAGACACACCTTTCATGTTGTCTTGTTCCAACCTGTATATAAACGGATTTCATGAACATAGGCTCATTTAGAATAAAGAAGAAGAGCGTCTAAAAGCAATACCACACAAATTCAACTGTAGTTATACCACAGTAGTTGACCTATTAAATGTGTCTGTTCTTGAGAAAAAAAATTGTCGTCCGATCTGAAAATAAAAATATACCACTTGATTCTTATTCACTTTCGTGAATTTGTTATCGAGTCTGGAATCACCTGGCGAGTTAATCACGCATACAACAGATGACGATTGAATTGTTGACGCAATCGTTACCGTTCCGTTTGGTATTCATGCGAACTCGATGGGTTTTTTTTTTGTCGTTTATCACAGTTGATATATTACAAACACATTTACGAATTCATAATATCTGTAAACTACTGTCAATTCCTACTTTTTACTAAAGATTACCTCAATTTGTGGAAATTGCTCAGCCTAAAGTTATCTGTGTAGTGTGTTGTAGACTGTTATTTGCCTTTTCGTCGTCTTTCTTTTAGAATAATTTTAATTTAACTATATTCTAAGTATCTGAGGTCGCATATATTGTTTTTTCTTATTCGTAACATGATCAGGATAAGCAGTTAATGAATTTAAACTTGAATAGTTGTACCTGTTTATGTTATAAATAAATATAGTTTACCGGACCACCCGTTCTCGACATACAAATTATTTGTTTTACGTTTGCCACCTTCCATCTGCTTTCGGTTTGGCTAAAGACAATTATATTCGAATATTGACGAATTCAATTTACGCTTATGATTGGTTGAATTTGAAGATAAAATGACTTTAAAGCAATTTGTGCCGTTAAACGAAATTTTGAAGCCAATGATGGATGTTTTAATAAATTTTTTAATTCATTTTTTTTAGATTCCGATATGACTTCATGTATAATAATTTCAAGTTTGATTGTCGTGTTTATAATATCAACAGGTGAGTATCAAACTATGTATAACCATATTATGGCATTAAGTTATATTTTACAAACACACAATTTTTATCTTTAGTTTGACATAAATTATTATGGATCGAAATGAACTTCACTAACACAAGGAGAATCTAACATCTAAGAATAACTAATGTAAATATTCAACAAAGAGCTTAAATTCTGTGCAATCATATTGTCGTACAAAAGACAATGTAATAATTGTTTTCAGGCTGAAGATATCTTGATTTTTCACTCAGATGAAAAGATTTGATCTTAACTTTATTTTCGAGGACATAATGAATAAAGTAAGAATACGTAATGCAGGCAAGAACGATGATAGCATCTGGAATCATAGTCGCCTTCGTCTACAAATAAAGAGGAAAAGATAACAGTTCAAAAATACTACATACAAACATAAAGTACGAGCAACATTCACAAAAGCAATCAAGGGTAGTAACAAGTCCGAGATTTTTCACTTGTTCGCAAAGCATATTCGTTGGGAAAATTGTAATCCATACTATCAAATATAAGTGAATTGCAAGTCTTATCTGGGAGATTATAATTCTTCAAATACTTCCGTGCTTGTATCAAATTTATTTGGAGACATGATATTAAAAAACGTACTTTCTGGTATTTCGAATTCATTCAACAAATATTAATTCATTTTAGATTCTTACATACAAAAGAAACTCTGCCTGGATTTGTCTCCTTCATTTCTGTAATTCGAATATTGGCAAACACTGTATTATCGACAGTTTCTAACAAAAAAATCAGCTAAAAATTAGATTGGATTTTTTTTTTAGAACTTTGGTTGTTATCCGAAAGAAGTCAAACTTAAAAAAAAATAAAAAAAGATTAAGAATACCTTAACAATATGTGCTTTATTTCATTTCTATTTCTTCTTACATTTTAACAATAATAACACCTTATATAAGTATGTTGGAATTTGAGTGTGTTTTCCGTTATCTAATGAATTCTTATATTATTTCATCGTCATCGGGAAATATGCACAAGGGTGTGCCTTTTTATCCTCTCTGTCGTGGTATTTGCCAAAACGTATATGCCTTCTCTAGTTTTTACCGAGACGCTTGATCTATGTGCTTTTTGTTGAATACAAATGTTTTGTAAACGTCTTCATAACAAAAGAATAATGAAATTAAATTCAATGTTTAAAACTAACAATTCCTATTGATATATATTCTGTGTAATCATAATTTGATTGATATTTGCGAATAATACCAGTTTTGAGAAGTAAGTTCCTTCGCCAAGCGGCTCAGTACATTTTACCTTTTCACGACGGCATTTTTCGCAAATACGCCTCCAGACCCAGTATATTTCTGTTCATAAGTATGTATTTGAAACAGATGTACTTCAACATTATGTTTGTCGGAACTAAATAATAGAAATTTGTTCTTTCAACAGTTAAAAGTAAAATCTTAAATATCCATTTACATTGTGACCAAAATGATAGAAACGAACTAAATAAAGTAGCTTGGCTCTTCTCTTGTTACATAAGAGGGGTTCGATATTACCTTTTCACTTCGGTTTTATTTGAAAATAAGCAATACGTAATAATATTCTTATTCAATATAGGTATTGCTATTGCAGTGGTAGATGGCCGATTTGTAATATGTGTGAAAGGTAAGATTTCCACCAACTCAAGTAAAAATAAATACACTTGATATGATTTCCTTGTATACAAGTTTTTCCTGTATAACCTTTAGAGATATATGAATTTGTTTGAATTAGGATTACCATTTTGTTCTACATTGTAAAACAATTAACATCAAAATAATAATTATCTAAGTAGATATAGGTCGCCCTTTGCGAAAACAAACTTTCATGAAAACATAAAGTGTTGAAAGAAAACAATCTAGATCCTTTCATTAAAATCGTTTCATTTTTCATTTATAATAAGAATTTTTTTATTTAGATGAAAAGAATGAAACACAGTCGGATTCGCAGTCTTACTTAGTTGGTAAGTACATTATAGTACAGTTATCGTCTGAAAATATTTCATTTACTTGTACGAATTTTAAAAGAAACACAGTAAAATCTCTGTACTATTTAAAATCTAAAATTTGATGAATTCTACAACAGACACAACTGCCGATCTGCTGCATAACATTGTTAACATCTAGGTATCCCCAGTGAATGTACGTTGAGATCTCTAATTTTGACATTTACAGTTTTATATAACAACACCCCGTGGCTACCTGGATGTTGACATTTTGCTTTTAAACTACTTCGAAAGAGTACAAATCGATGGAAAAGCTATTGTGTGACAAAATTGTTCTCAACAGTGCCAGAATCATGCTTGAGGCATAATTTACGTATGTGTTGCATTTGAATAGAAACCAAGTACGAATTTGAAATGTTTTGGGAGGTATCAATTTCTAATTTTGGATCTTTATCATTTTCTGTTGGTTTTATTTGTCGTATTTAATCATTTATATATATATATACCGTATAACTTCCGTATATTGTTATAAAGAATTTGAGATATGCACTGAAATCCCCTAGCTTTATAGTTTGGCTCGTTGTTGTTTTTCAAATAGATCGACATTGCATGAAAATTGACCACAAAGACTTAGCAGTGGCGAAAATGCAATTCCGTGTGTCATCGTTCGTGCTTAATGCGGAATTTTTTCTCAAAAAAAGTGAAATGCATCAATTGATATTTTTAGACTTAACGTTCCGTTATCATAATTGAAAACTATTAGCTTTAATTAGGTGGCTAATATGAACAAATCAGTCCCGGTTTGACTAATCAACCGTGCGTGTCCGTAGAGTATTACTATCCAAATTTTGATTTTATTTAGTTGCTCTTATAAGCAATTATTACCTGAATGGAGACACGCATAACATTGAATAATACAGCTTTCTTCAGTGATTAAATGCGATTTGTCTCCAATCGGTTGTACCATTGTTGCTGCTTATTTGGTTGATAACTGTTGTCACACTTGGAATATTCAATATGTGTATACAATCCATAGAAATAAACAATGACAATTTTGTATTTTTGCGGTTCTATATGATTTTCTCCGTGGATTATCACATAGTGTATTATTAGTCAGGTAAAAAATGAAGATAAGACGTTATTTGAAAGCCAATGATGTATAAGCAGGCCCAAAACAGTTAAAGAGCTCAATGACCAAAAAAAGGACAAATAGAAATAGCCAAATCCATCTTAGGCCAAGTTTGCCTGAGGGAGTTGAAACATTAGTAATACAAGTTTTGTCTATTTATATGATAATTTTGAGATTTGTTTTATCGTTAAGAAATTGTAAGTTAATTTCCATTTCACCAACGTTTTGCTATGTTTCTTGCTTTATTTTTTCCAATTCAATTTTTTCCTTTCCTTTTTAGTGAATAATTTGACGTCTGTTAATTAGGTTATACATGTATATAACATTACATTTTTAATTTGTTGACAAAAAGAATCATCTTAAATTGGACATAACCAGCAACATACACAAAAATTTATCCAGAAACACTAGAAGACGGGAATTGGTATAATACTATAGCCTTTTTACCACCTGCCAAATTGTCAGTGTTTCAATACTGACATAATTTATGATACATTCTGACTTAACCAGTAAATCAACTAAGGCTGCAATCCTCTTAAACAGAACCTTTTGGCTGTTTTAGATTGTGTGATATAATTGATGACAACACTATTCAAAAAAAAGAAATGCGAATAATGCCTGTCAGGAATGGCATATGTACATATCTTGAGACGACACTCAATAAAATTGAATAATTATTACACTTTTTCAGAGAAACAACATATGAAGCAACAACCAGAGAATAGTTTTGAATCAGAAAAAAGTAAGTTTGGTATAAACATTAGACATGTGTCATAGTTAAATGTTTTGGAGGCTTTAGTTTAGGAAGTTCGACCTGACAATAACGAATCACAGAATTTTAATGCATTATTGATCGTTTTAAACGAGGTTCCAAAAAGGGCCTTTTACTTAATTTTGCATGTCCGGTATTTAGATAAAAACTCTCTATATTGTCATGATATCAAAAAATTAAAACAACACGTTATTAACTTCATGCTTCCGAAGCGCTTTTCAGAATTTACTTTCATCAGGAACGCTCACAACCAAATACATGTATTTAAAGGCCAAGGATGTATAAGAATCGAAACAATTCGAGATCTATATAACAAAAAAGGACATAAAAAAAGCCAAATCGATCTAAGGTCACCTTTGCCTTAGGGAGTGGAAACCTTAGTTTCTGTATAATTTTAAAATTCATAAACGGACAATTTTAGAAAGGTTTGTTGAGCTGATGATACCCTCGGGGACTGGTAGTCTACTAGCAGAAGTATCGACATAGTGCTGTAAAAAATGAAAAAAAAACCCAACACGTTATTAATTTCATGCATCAGAAGCGCTTTTCTGGATCTACCTTTATCAGGAACGCTCACAGCCGAATGTTTGAAAGCCAAGCATGTATAAGAACCGAAACAGTTGAAGAGCTATATACCGAAATGGACCTTAAAAACAGCCAAATACATTTAAGGTCAACTTTGCTTTAAAATGTGAAAGGAGAATAAACTCCTTATTGCAAAAAAGGTAAAACGAAATGTACATTCATACACTACGACTTACTTCTACATGTTCTATGTCATGTGGTCTCTGGTGGAGAATTGTCTCATTGGCAATTATACCACATCTTTTTATTTCTATATTATATGTAGAAAACATTTTGAAATAATTAAGTATTCAATATTACCTAAAACTGTACATCTTCTCAATGGAAATCACAATATATCTGTCACATGATATCTCTTCTAAAATAAAACTTTTCGGTTAAGTTTCTCCAATATTTAATCAAATCTTCCTAATAAAGCATACTGTAAATATTTTGATAACCTCAACAACAACAAACAATGAAAACAACACGTTATAAATTTTATGCGTCCGAAGCGCTTTTCTGGATTCACCTTCATCAGGAACGCTCAAAGCCGAATATTTGAAAGCCAAGGATGTATAAGAACCAAAGATTTGAAGAGCTATATTACAAAAAGTACCTAAAAAGTCGTTTACCTGACTGGAATGACAACGAGATTACCGCCTTCCATTCCTTTCTATTTGTGGTTTTCAGATAACCAGGGATATGTTCCACTTGTGGTAACCGTAATTCTTTCCTCTTTACCTCGAATGGCGACACTGCCGAATGAAATTTATCACCGGATGTTTACTTGCATGATCAATATGACAGGTGCTACATATAGAGGAGGATCTGTTAACCCTACCGAAGCACATGAGTTTACTCCCTGTTTTTTTATGGAGTTGTGTTGCTCGTTATTTATTTTTCTGTGTAATCTTTTGTTATTGTTGTTTATCCTTTCGTCGTTTCACTTTTAAGCCACGGTGTTGTCTTGTTGGCAAATTATGACGGTATGTAAGAGTGCAAAATAGTTTGAAATAAGCAGGTCTCTGAATTTGGGTTTCCATTTTGTACTACATTGAAGTATACCCCTTTCATCAAAATAATGAAAGTAGATGCACGTCGACAGTTCAACAGCAAACACTTTGAAATAAGAACAAACACGTTTTGAAATTGTACATACTTTCGTAAAAATAGAAATTGATTTAATTTATCATATGAAAATTTATCTTCAGATGGAACGAAAGAAATACAATCGGATACACAGTCTCCTTCGGTCGGTGAGTACATCATTATACAATAATTTTCGGTAAAAGTTTTATTTACTTGTACAAACTATGAAAACATAGGGAAACCCTTAAACAAACTCCCAAAAAAAGATCTGTTGCTTTGATTTTATATCATTGAATAGAACATACATGTTGCGTTTTTAAAAACGCTCTATATATTTCTAAGAAAGATTTGAAAATAACAATTTTCTGATGTTATGAACTATTGATTGTTTTCATCATATACCAAAAATCTACATATGTTGTCATAAGCAATTTTAAATACTATCTGTATAATTTATTAATTTATGTCAGTCGAAAGGGGATACATGCAATCAATATAGTCATCAAATTTTAAATCATTCAACAACAAAAAATAACAAATCTTTCACTTTTACATTTCTCAAATTGTGTCGTTGTTTTTCAAAGACCAAATAAACATTCTACATTATTATGGTAGATTTTAAAAGTAAATAGAAATAAGAAGATGTGGTATGAGTGCCAAATGAGACAAATCTCCATCCAAGTCACAATTTGTAAAAAGTAAACAATTATAGGTCAAAGTACGGCCTTCACCTCGGAGCCTTGGCTCACACCGAACAGCAAGCTATAAAGGGCCCCAACAATGACTTTTGTTAAACAATTCAAACAGCAAAACCTAACTAATCTATATAAAAAAACCGAGAAATAATTATGAACCACATCAAGAAACGACTACCACTGAACAACAGGCTCCTGACTTATGACAGGTGCAAACAAATGCAGCGGGTTTAAACGTTTAAACAGGCGCCAACCTTCACCCTAACCTGAAACAGTATTGTAACATTACAACATAGAAAGACACATTATAAAATATCAATTGAAATGGCTTAACTCGATCAAAAAGACATATTAACAAAAACAAGTAAACATACACTAAACGAATAAATTTGATCTATAACACAATATAAATACAATATTAATAAAAAAGGGTATGTGACCAAGGCATAAATGACATGTTGCCATGTTTTAAGGCAAATCTACAATAAAATGGTTATGATATCTAATTTATTTTTTAGATGAAAAGATTGAAAGCCATTCGAATGCACAATCTCCTTCATTCGGTCAGTACATAATAATGCGATAAAGTTCTGAAATATATGAAATATTTTTAAGAGCTCCAGATTGAAAATAATAGTTCGCCAAGCTTTTTGGCTGCTAAAATGTTTCAAAATAAGAAATAAGCAAGGGAAAGTTATGACATTAGCATTGAATTTGAAAAGCGCTAAGGAGTATTTTTGTTATAATTCGTTTTTTTTTTTGGCATGTTATTGTCAACGTTTCCCCGACTTATCATTTGTGATTATTCCTTTGATACCTTCTGCGTCACTTTTGTCGAGCTTGGGACATTTATGTCGCGAAAGCAAGACATAGCGATCCTAGATTACACCGTCGGCGTCGGCGACGTCAACATTAAGGTTCAGTCATTGGTTAAGAAATTTTTAAACATCAATAACTTTGTCAAACCTCCATGGAATTTTATGAAATTTGGACAGAACCTTGTTTTGGATCAAAATAAAGTATCCGGAGCGAAATTTTAAAAATATTATTTCTTTAATTTTTCCGTATTTTACTGATAAATAGAGTTAGTTCTTTACAGTTTACATTCAGATTCAGTCTGAGGTTAAAGTTTTTCAATCATCAATAACTTACCGAACCTTCATGGAATGTTATGAAATTTGGACAGAAGCTTGTTTATGACCAAAATACAACATTCAGAGGGAATTTTTAAAATATTATTTTCATTTTCCATTTTTGTTCTGATAAATGGACTTGGTTGTTAAACAGATAACATTCGTGCTCAGTCTGAGGTTAAAATTTTTCAGTCATCAATAACTTTGTCAAACCTTTATGGAATTCTTTGAAATTTGGACAGAAGCTGGTTATAGTCGAGTGACATTAACAACACAATTTCATTTTAATGCACCCACCTAACATACGGCTAAATCATATACCATTTGAACGCATATCATCTGTACTATATTTTTTTTTCCCGGTCGTCACATATTCGTACGGTACAATTTTTGTCAAATCGCGATGAAAGGTCAAGGACGGACAATTTTTATTTTACAAGATGTCAGCATTTTTGCATATTCTGTCTTTGAAATAATAAAATTCTGTATGGAAATGTGAAAAACTTTAAGAACAAAGACTATTTGTCAATTATCAAACACACTTTGAAATATTTATGCCGTTTTTAATTAATAGCGCCTTTTTCCAGAAATTACAGTGAAAATGACAAAAATGAGTGAAAACCAAAATATTTATCTGTAATTCAATTGTAAATCACCATAAACCTAAATAACATATTTCATTTAGTGCTAAGGAAGGTTTTGGCTTCATCGTATTACTGCAACCACGCTTCTTGCTAATTACACAACCAATCATAACAACCTATACAGTTGCCCAAAATACCACCATCTGCAAAAAGATGGCTTTTTAGCTGTTTTACGTTAAAAACAAAATTTTATGTAGTCAATATTAGGTTAAAGAAACACAATTAAAAAATGCAAAAAAGTTTGAAGGCAATAATACACGCGGAATTCGTGCTTTTCGGGGAATTGAGGGAGCTAAATATGTAGTTGAGTTGCCAGCCTGTCATTTCTTGTTATTTTGTTTGTTATTTCATGATTATCACGAAAAGAAATAAAGGACTTTATATATAGACATTAAGCTAGCCCAAAAAAAACTAAATACATTGTATTCTTATTCTCTAGACACTGAAAATGTTCTTTGTGTCTGTCCAAAGAATAAAGCCCGATCAAACTACGCAATGTTCTTGTGAAAAATTTACTTGTTGCAGTTACATGCAGTTGCATGTTGCATTTGGTAAAACCTTTCGGAATTTTGGTTCCCCAATGCTCTTTAACTTCGTACTTTATTTGGTTCTTTAACTTTTTTTATCCGAGCGTTACTAATGTGTCTGTTGTAGACAAAACGCGCGTCTGGCGTACAAATTTAACCCTGGTATGTATGAGTTTATTTACAACCACTGGGTCGATGACACCCCTGGTGGTGGGTTCCTACCCTAGGGTATCACCAGCCCAGTAGTCAGCACTTCTAAGTTGACAAGAATTATCACTGATAGGGTCATATTTATAAATTAAATGGTTAAGGATTGCATTTTTGACAAATACTACGGATTTTCTACCCCCGGGAGTAGAAAACCTTAGCTGTATTTGACAAACCCTTTCGAAATGTTGGTAACTCAATGCTCTTCAACTTCCTGCTTTATTTGGGCTTTTAAACTTTTTTTATTTGAGTGTCACTGATGAGTCTTTTGTAGACGAAACGCACGTCTGGCTTACAACATTTTAAGCCAGGTATCTATGAGGATATTATTTACATTAACTCACAATCTATTTCTTCTGATTTTAAAATTCTAACAATTCGCAATAATTATTGTATTGATTTGACTTCCTAAATGGTTAAATTCTTACATGTAGAATAAATAGCTATAAAGAAAAAAAATAATGGGTATGTGTCACACCAACATTTCAACCAATCATCACCAAGAATATTTTGTAAAAGTAGGCAACCTCTGACAAAACATAGCGCTTTTCATATTGCTGCTTTTAGCTCAACTGTTGTTGACCTGGCAGCAATTTTTTGGCAATTTTCACACATTATTTTCATACTAAAAAAGAACGAAGTTAATTCTATTGCGTTATTTTCTAATCACAAATATCACGTAAATACATTGGTTGCCAAAATTGGTTGATTTGAAGTATTGTCTTTTCCTAAACTAAATTATAAAAACAAAAACCTAAAACTTTATCCAAACAATAACATGAATAAGTAAAATCATTTTTTTTACATCTCAAAGCTTTGCATGCTTTAATCTGTTCGTTTGGTTTTATAATGGTGCGAAGATCTCATAACTGCAATAAGACTAATTGTTTGATATTATTTGACAATAAAATAAAACATACAAAACGGTATGTTTAAATGCGAGATAAAAAAGGGTTAAAAATGAGATAACTTACAACCAGCACTGTAATGGTGAATTTGAGTTGCTTGCTATTTAACTCTATTTGAATGTGTTTATCATGAATAAACTCCCTTCCTGTTCAATATCCAAATGTGCACTTTAAAACTTTGAACTTCACTAAAATTTACCAAGCAATCTAAGAGAAGTATTGCTCATTACAAAGTTTTCTAGGCTAATTGATGGACATATGAATGAAACGAACAAAACACAAATGAGCGTAGAGACAAGATGATTCCTACATTTCGGATAAACACACATGTGACACCATGGACAAAGCGAAAAAAATAGGACAGACAAACCACAGTTCTCACAACACTACAACGAAATGTACGAACAATACCTTAAACCAGTGGTGATTGAAGTTAGTCAGAAAGGGTAATCATTCTTCCACAATATACATTTTCAGTCATAATTGATAAAACAAGTAATATACTAAATTAGTATGTAATAATGTGCTAACATAAATAATAGCCGGATTTGTGATTGTAAAGCGTGTGGTGCAAATAGTATTTATTCGAATATTAAACGAGAATAAACTTCTTAATATGTCTTCGAAAAAAAAACATATTTCTATTATAAATACCTTGTATATTCCTTACTCACATTTATTACCCCTTTGTTTAGATATGGTAAATCATTTTCTCCTGATATTGTCAACAATCGATGTGTTATCTAAACAATGAAAGGCAAAATTATCAATAAATGCAGATGGTGGTTTTAAGGGCAATCGCAAAATCTTCATATGAAGGCTGGTTCCTGACCAATCTTATATTAATTGCAGTTTAAAATGACGAAAAAAGCTTCATTCATCTATAAACGATAAATTTATTTTATTTTGACATATAATTATTGATACATAAAGAAATACTTTGCTGTTAGCGCAATTTTATCATTTTTGAAGGATTTTTAAAAAAAAAGCATTTTCTGTAACTATTGCGCAATTAACATTTTAATGTGCACCTGATTTAGAATTCAGTTATTCTGTTCTATTATGTTTATATGATTTTTAGAAAAAAAAAATATCATACAAGATTTATAAAATTTTATGAATTTTTGGGAGAAGCCTTTTATGGTGTAGAGATAATGCCTTAAGCAAACTTTTCAAAATATGTTTTTTTCATCTTCAGTATTATTTTGATCGATAGACTTAGTTTTTTACAGTTAACATTTACAGACAGTCTGGGATTAAGTTTTTTTTTTCATGCTAAATTTGTTAACCCTGCGTTGATTGTTTGAAACCGGAACCAAAACTAATCTTTAAGATCATGAAATAGCATCTATAGAATAAGTTTGAATTTTGTTTGATTTTGTATTTAACTGATAAATGGACTCACTTTTTAAGTCAATATTATACTTTTGCACAGCTGACAGCAGCAATCGTAGGCGAGACACAGGGTTCCATGGAACCCATTACGAATTTTTGTATGTTTCCAGGCATGTTCATAAGATGTGGTACTCTTAAGAAGTCTTGATTAATTGATCAATTGTTGTTTGCTCACGTCCAGTGGCAAATATTTCATAAATATTCAGTTTAGAAAATACAAATGATCTAATAAATAGGTATGTAAAGTGGTTTTACTAGGATGCAGGAACGAAAACTTGATAAGACTGGCATCTTTGATGATTTGTCTTGGGGTCTGGTACACGAAACGTTGACATTTTTGGATAATTCGCCTTTTAACGGGCCAGTGCAGACCACTGAAAGACTTTGTTTAATGTGTTTTTCAACTTCCAAGTTAGAATGACACGCTCCCTAAACTAAAAGTCTGATTAACCGTCTCATTTTGAGCGGCTGTGGATGTACATGCGTAACATCTACTTTGCCAAAGTGCAACAGGTTACTCTCGGTACGGAAGATATGTTTTAAAGTCAACTTTATGCCTATCTACATCGTCCCTATAACCCTTTTAGTTCGAATGTTGTGTCGTACACTTGCAAAGTAATATATGAATACATGGTCACATATATAAAAAAGGAAGATCCCGTAAAATTTTTGAAGTCATCACCTTAAAGGTAAAAGTCTTAATTTCTGCAATTATACCGAAATTTGTCCAAAAAGGTTGTTTCTGGATGCTACTCAAATACTTTATATCAGATTGCAACCTGACATGGATATGTGGTCACATATAAGATAAGATGATTACAGCTTTATAATTGATTTTGAGGTCACCTTGTCTAAAGTCAAAGTCATACTTTCTGTGAGTACACCGCACTTTGTGCAAAAAAATGCCTTTCGATAGCATATTCATATGCTACATATGGCGTAGCAACTGGGATATATCGTCACATTTAATGACAGTAAGATTGCACTGATTTTGAAGTCATTATGTCTGAGGTCAAGGTCAAAGAAACAAAACTAAGATTGAAATTCGGTAAGTAAGTAAGGATGTATCAACATTACTTGGATATGGGATCACATTTAATTATAGTCCCTATTGATTTTTGAGTCAATTGATCTAAGTTCACCGTCATACTTGCTAAAACATTTTGGCATAAGACAATATAACATCATAAAATCATTATGTAGAAGGAGTGAAAGGTATATGAACTTCTTACTAACGGTATTTAATTATTGAAATAAAGCTAACTAATAGTACTTGATTTATCAAACATAATAAACTAGCAGGGAAAGTTGACCTTCGAAAATTCGACTATTCATTTTAGGTCCCTTTTGGTCATATAGCGCTAACTTGGCTACGTGCTTTTACATTTCTGGCTTTCAAATGTTTAGGTTTGAGTGTTCCTAGTAAAGGTTAGAGTAAAAAAAGCGCTTTGGACGCGCGAAAATTATAAAGTTTTGTTTTAAAATTGATTGACTTTATATTTGGTAATTAAGCTGATATTTATAATCCGATTCAAAATTGCTAGACCTATATCTTAGAAACGACTCAATTTACTGTATATATTTTGGATTACTTCCGCACATTGTGTACATCAACATTGAACTCTATCAAAACTTTACGTTCGTAAGATGAATTTTTTTTGTCTTTTAATTTTCATGTAGCAATATTCTTGCATTGCCAGTGTGTGGACGTTTTGTCTCTAAATTACTAGAACAGATCTCGGTTTCGAAGATTGTTTACCTTGATATCATTTTACTACACGCAAGGAATATTTTATTCGAAAGATTCTTTACGGTAGAGTTGACGTTATCACTTTTAACGGACTTTATCATGACTTGATTTGAACGCTACCGAATGTTTAATCTTCAGATGAATATAGATATTTTCCGTATTTATGGCTTCAGATATGACATGAGGTCCTCGTTCACCAAAAGTTAGGAAACATTGGTCGTAGATAGTATTGGCTGTCCTTCGTAGGTCTTCTTGGTCTTTATGCTACAAAGCATTGACACATGTAAAACAGAAACTGTTCATCCTTTCTCGGGTATGCTAGTACTGTTATCTGATTTTCTGCGACTAATGATGTATTTTTCCCTTTAAGGATCTTATCGAGTAGCGAGATGACACGAAGCGATAGGTGAATAGTATTTTATAAACTTTTTCATTCCTTTTCTATTTGTCATAATTTTTGAGTTTTTGTTTTAGATCAATATTACCGACAAACTTCACAAGGTAGTGTTAAAGAATCTACACAAAAGAGTAAGTGAACAATTACGTATCTTTCTAAAGTCGATAAGACTTTTAACTGATAAACATTAAATATAATAACATGAAAATGATTTACACATCGAATATATGACATTTTTGTCAAATTTTAATTTTTGTTCTTTCATTGCAATATTGTAATATAAGTGTCGTATATACGAAAAGGTAAACTATGAAAATACATTGTACCGATGAAAGACAATCTGGTCTGTTTTTTGTAAAATATATAACATATTCTATAAATGTTTATACAGACTACAACATTTTGCTAGACTTTTCATATTTCATACATCCAAACATACTGCTAGTCAAACAGTTTACAAATTTTTTCAATTAATATTAATATGTCGTTTGTTTTAGAATTTATGAAGACGAGTTTAGAAGTCTGGGAAAAGATGGATGGGTTTTACTTTGAGACAAGCATGTTTCCATTGGTGATGGATGCCTTGGAAACTTCGAATTGTGTAACTTTAATTGGAGCGTCAGGGGAAGGGAAAACTGTCAGTGCAATACATGCAGCCCTTCAATACAGACAAAAATCTCCTTCATTTGAAGTTTTAGAAATTTTCAATCCAAATGAACTTATTAAATCAATTGATGTGGATAAACAACAGTTTTTTCTCGTCAATGATCCACTGGGTAAGCAGTGTTTGAACGAAAGTTCTCTAGGTGACTGGGTTCAAATGTCTAAAAGACTTAAAGACGTTCTAGCTGGTGGACATATAAAAATAGTATCCACCATTAGAAAACCTTTATTCAAGAAAAATGAAATCCGGATAAAGGAAACTATTTTTAGAGAATATATTATTGATTTTTCATCAGAAATGAATCGTCTTTCAATAAAAGATAAGAACGGCATCTTAGCAAAATCTATCAAACATACTGGAAAACACTTAGACTGTAAGATAAAGAACAAAATGACAACTGATACGTATCATCCCGGATTCCCACTTTTTTGCCACCTCATATGCTCAAATCCACATCGCTATAGACATGATACAGTCGATCCTTGTTCTGTTCTCATAGAAGAGTTAAAAGAGTTTTTGACTGTGGAAAGTTTCCATTATTGCTGTATTGTGTTAGCCTTTATGCATGACAACGTATTTGATATTAATGATTTAACTGCTTGCGAAGATATCGAGTTCTCAGGATCTGATATTACAGACACAAAAAAAATCCTTAGCATTATAAAATCGTGTCAGATCAAAACGGACGACAAGGATTGTTTTGAAAAATTGAAGAGCGGATTCGAAGCTCTTTCAGGTGCTTACTTCATCAACAATAATCCAGTTTATAAAATTTTACACGATAGCATCACTAGCGCAGTGGCATACACTTATGGAATGGCTAATATTGTGAAGATTCTTAAATATAGTGGTTCATCAATCATAAGAGAATATGTCCGAACTAAGCAATCGAAAAAGGATGACGATAACATGATTATTGAAATAATCGTAAGTTCTAAATTTCAAAGAATGCTAGCAAATAGGTTTATTCAAGACATTGAATTGGGAGATTCTGCAAACGTTTTCTTAAATCCTTCTTTTATTGACGAAGAATTTCAGAGCATGTTTCTTAAAGAATTGATGTCAATGGACAAATCTAAAATGCTTAAAATAATGTCAACGACTTCCCATGAAGTAAGTCAACAGCTTAAAGATATCAGAGAATATACAAAATTTGCCTTAGATGTCGCAATTTTATCAGCAGCACCAGTTCATTGGTTGTGTAGACTAGGACTTTGCGAAATACTAAAAGCAGTTCTTTCGAAAACTGAGGATAAACTGAAATTTTTAAATGAATTAAAAGTTCACACAACACCTTTGCACTTTGCAGCAGGATATGGTAAGATAGACGTCGTTAGATATCTAATATCGATAGATGTTGATATCAATGTGAAATCACAACTACAAATGTTAGAAAATCCTAAAATAGGAGAGTACTTCTCCGGGTTTCCACCACTATTATATGCAGCAAGACAAAACCATCCAGATGTGGTTGAATATATGCTGCAACATGGGGCGAACCCAAATTTAGTCAGAGACCACGGTGGTTCACCAATGCTACTTGCCGCTGATAGAGGTCATACTGAAGTAATCAAACATCTCTTGAAATACCATGGTGACCCAAACCTCTATTGTGATCACGGAACTACACCAATAATACTTGCAGCACAGGGTGGTCATTTGGAGAGTCTAACTGCTTTGATAGACGGGAAAGCCGATTTAAACTGGCAAAGATTTGAAAGTGAAGGAAAAATTTCAGCTCTTTTGGCCGCTGCAAAAAATGGACATATGAAATGTGTTGAAGTTTTGATCAACCGTGGTGCCGATATAGAATTAAGTGATGTAAATGGATCATCACCCTTACTGCTTGCCATTCAAAACCACCATTTTGATACAGCTAGAGCTTTATTCAAACTAGGGGCTAGCATTAATGCTGTAAATAATAGTGAGGAATCTCCATTACAATTCGCTAAATTATCAAAACTAGACTTTAACGAAGATGCATGATAATAAATCTCAATCTGTTATCATAACATACTTTTCAAAATATACTGATCAAAGAGTTGGAGCTTCGTTATTTTGCCTCTGATTTCGTTGATGTTTACATTGACAACGGCACGTACGCCCTTAGTTTCTAACGATAATTTTCTATCTCTAGCGAGTAGCATGATATGAAAAAATATTACAAAAATCTTCTACATCATAAGTAGTCAATTGTGATTAGAATATGTCATGCTCTTCTTTGTAGTAATTCTGGATAAGTTGTAAATGAATTAAGACTGACCGATACAGATCTATATCTTGAGATTAATTAACTTTGTTACACTTGTATAAAGAAAATAACGACTTGCTAGTTGAGATGATTTACTTTTCCTATGATTCTTAGATATGCAACAAAAGCGTTACGTTACATTACAAAATTGTGTGCGAAAGTCCGAGAAACACGAAGTTCCACGTTACCTTACGTTCACTAAAGCCTGTTGTCTTATATTCACGAAAACCTTAAAGAGATTATAACTTTCAAAGTCACCTACAAGACATAAGCATGATCGATATCAGAAACGAAAAGTAATATACTAGGTTTATTATGAGTACGCCAAACGCGCGTTTTGTTCACACAAAATAAATCAGTGAGGCTCGCATCAAAACAAATGGTAAATCAAATCTACAACGAAGTTAAAGACCACGGGAACACAAAATTTCCAGAGAAGCCTTGATAAATCAGGCTAAAACTATGTTTGCCTAGGGGTAGAAAAACCTTTGAGTTTTGAATGAATTTATCATTTCACAAACAGAAAATTTACAGAAATAAATGACAACATCAATGATATTTCCACAGAGATGGTTCAGATATAAAAATTCTATTTAAACTCCGACACATGTTCATATAAATGTGTAAAAATGGGTTCATCGTCTCTGGATGGCTTTGAACTGTATGATAATATTTTGTCATTTAGAGGATTTGTGTTGTGATGCCGGATCTTTGAAAGTCTCTGTGATATTTACACATTTGCCTTTTGGGGAATACTGTTGACAACTGCTGCATTGATTACTGTTAATATCTTGTTTCGAAGGGTTGCTGTCTATATGATGTAAATCTAAGATTTAGTTTAATCGACAACATAATGATTTTATTCAAGACTATCAATGACCGGAATCCTGACTTAACATAGCGCATGAACATGTTGAGTACTTGAACAAGTATTTTCGATCTTATCCCACCCTTCTAGTCTCTATCACTCGAATAACACAAAATGTAAAATAACAAAAATATCGAACTCAAGGAAAATTCAAATGGGAAAGTCCCTTTTCAATGGCAAAATCAAAAGCTCAAACATATCAAACAATATTGAAAACAACTGTCATATTCCTAACATGGTACAGGCATATCCTTGTGTAGAAAATGGTGGGTTAGATAAAGGCAATAGTAGTATACCGCTGTTCAATAGTCATAAATCGATTTAACTGAAACAAATCCGGGTCACAAACCAAAACTGAGGGAAACCCATCAACTATAACATGTATAAGAGGAAACAAAACGGAACAACAGAAACACTGAACTGCTACAAAAACAAACGCCAACATACATAAAAACGGACTATGTGATAACAATTGCCATATTCCTGACTTGGTACAGGACATTTAAAAAAAATTGTTGGTTGAACCTGGTTTTATGGTTAGCCAAACCTCCCGCTTATATAGCAATGTTAAAAATATCGCTAAAATGACAACATTACGTGACAGGAATAAAGTACAAACAAATGCAAGAACATTCAGGACAGAGAAATACACAAATAAATAATATAATAGTCCATTTCAACATGTAAACCACAGAATAACAACGAATACCTAAAATTAATTTACGACAGAACACAAATACAGCACAATAGAATAATGAACTGTGCGTCACACGAATGTTTCAACGCCACAAAAAGTGACGTCACATGTAAATTTCTAAAAATACAATATGAAATTGGGGTTAAAATTGTAATGGTGTTATTTGATGTATTTTCTAACCATTACAAAAATATTAAAATAGAATTGTGTTAGTAATGGTGTAATTATTTGTATTTTATAACTATGGTTTCTGTAAAAAAACAAATGAATCCTGTGCATATAGTTGCTTTTAACCTAAAAATCTTATAAATGAACTAGGTGATTAATATCTTTACTTTTACATACATAAATAAAAATAAAAATAGAATTAAAACCACAAACGATAAGACATAAAACAACATCCAAACAGAATTACAAATGGAACATCATAACTAAATACACGAATGTTGGATGTACATATACCGAGACACGTCTAATAGCATTGCGAATTTACACTCAGCAAAACAGTCATATTCGGGAATAGGTCACGTTCGGTACTTAGAAGAACAGACGACGTAGATGGTAAACCACAATCTAAGACGTGGTAAAAATGTCGTTAGTTAGTTATGACACAGACACATCGTATAGATCAACCAATTCGTGATGGTGTCCATAAAATTTACGGAGTGTCATTTTTAATCTTTCCTCCTCATAACTCTGTTGGAGCAGTTTCTGAGTAAGGAGCACACTCCTGTATATGAGGTCCGTATAGTGTGAACATGCACGAGCATAACGTATCAAGTGAGATATGTAAACACCATACGATTGGGCAGAGGGTATGTTACTGCTGAGAAATGGGAAATTGATAATTGGGAAGTTGAAATCGTCCCGTTTGTCATAGATTTTAGTGTGAAGTCGTCCATATGTGTCAATATTGAGTAAAAGATCAAGGTATGAAGCAGTCCTCCTATTATCAGTAGTATCCTTAATTTCAAGTTCACTGGGATATATGAGATGTAAGTACTGGCTGAAATACGGGTTATTCAGTGATAGGACATCATCAATATATCTGAAAGTAATATTAAAGAATTTCGCAAGGTGCTTTTTCTTTTTGTCTTTTACAAGGTTTTGAATGAAATCTGCTTCATACGAGTACAAAAACAAATCGGCCAGTAGGGGTGCACAATTAGTACCCATTGGAATACCGACTGTTTGTTGAAATATCAATCCTCAATTTAATGAGATGATGAAGGAAGTCGATCTTTTAATTGAGCATGGGGAATAGTAGTGTAAAGCGTAGAAAAATCAAGACTTTTAATGTTGCTGCAAAATTTAAAATATATTGAGATCTAAGATTTAGCAGTAGATCTTTAGAATTTTTAAGAATCCACATCTGATTGACTCCACTGGTGGAATATATCTCATCACAATATTTTTGAAGGCCATCTTTTACTGTAGAAAGAATAGTAGTCAGCACTTTAGAAAGATGTTTAGTTGAACATCTTGATGATCCAGCTATGTATCGTTCTTTATAAGGAGTTTTGTGAAGTTTTGGTATCCAGTATAATGACGGTAGATTTTCTTCGTTTTCTTTGATGTTAATACCAAAACAAAGAAGGACAGATTTGTGATTTTGTAAAATTTCATCCTTTGTAAATGATGTTACAGAATATGTAGGATTGCCAATTCTGCTGTATATTCCAAGCTCTTTTGTGAGACATTCCAAGTAATGGTGTTTACATATGAAGACAATATTATTGGAGGCTTTACCTGCTGGAACAACGACATATTTGTCATGCAAAGAGGATAAAGCATCCACAACCTCCGGGTTCTTGAATGGGTTAGAAATCTGGTTTTATAGCTAGCAAAACATCTCACTTGTATGACATTCGCATAAAATCCCACTATATTGACAACAATGTGTGAGCAAAACAAACAGACATGATAGGTTAAAATATCAGAAATTTTCGCTCAACAGTCATCTTAATCACTATAAAAACAAACATCTGTGTCAACAAAGAAAACCAAATGGCATATCTTGATAATAATGATTTCACAGCGCATTACGGAACATATATTTTTATGATGACACTTATGGTCCCACATCCTGTCGATACTTAGATTTTGGTAATGAACAATATGTTGCATTTCTCAGACCGCCAATGACTCATACGCACTAAAACCGTATAAGATGTTTTGATCGATATCTAAGTCTGGTTGAACATGGTTTTTATTTTAGTTGAAACTGTGCTTTGTCAGGAGGCTGACATTCAGTGGTTGTCGTTTGTTTCTGTAGAATAAATTAATTTTTCATTTATTGTTTTATACATAAATCAGGCCGTAAGTTTTCTCCTTTGAATTAATTTTCAAGTGTCATTTCGGGGCATGTTATATCTTGCTATGCGGTATAGGTTTTGCTCTCTGTTGCAGACCGTACGGTGGCACATAGTTGCTATCTTCTACGTAATCTGGTCTTTGGTGGAGAGTTTTCTCGTTTGAAAATATATCTTATTTTGATTTTGAACTAGCTTTTAGTAAGAACAAAGACCAGTATTTTGTGGTTGGTTTTTTTTTGGGTCTTTTTGTTATATTTTTTTAGTTGTTTTGTCGTCCTGTTTTAGTACCAATTTCAAACGTCAAGCCCTGTCCAACTGTTTTTGCTCTTATTTTGTATGTTTACACCACCCCCTTATTCAATGGGCGTTTCGAGGGCTCGCATACATTTTTACACCAACCCAATATGTTTTGTGCCTGCCCTTAGTTAGGAGCATGTAATTCAGTGGTTGTCGTTGGTTGCTGTCTAACAAAATTGTTTTCCGTTCATGGTTGTAGTATAAATCAGCGGTTGGTTTCACATTTTGTCGTTCGGGGGTCTTGTATGTTAGTGTACTAAGCGATATAGACATTGCTCTAATTCAACTTTTGTCGATGTCCTTTACCTTCGTTGGTAGTTGTTCACACCTTTTGTCCTTTGACCTTCATTGATAGTGTATTGCATTGGCAATTATACCATATTTTGATATAATAAAAAAGCATTTTCTAAATATTTAACTTGCTTTATAACCAGTACATGTTTTATTTATAGTTTTAATCATGAAACTTTATAAGAAATAACTGGTGTGCCCTTTAATGTTCCTTTGTTGGCTTTACAGACTTTTAGTATCGAACGTTCCTGGTTATTGCATTACAGCAAATCGGGTTATGCGTTTTGAAATCATCATTTCCTCGATACGTCTTTCCACAGTATTTGGATTCATTCCATATTTTGTCTCTGCATGAATATAATTCGTAGTAACGTCTCTTCGAATTTGAGAAAACATTTATAATAAATGTATTATTAAAAACAACAATGCATCAATAGACAAACTCTTTTAGTATAAGTCGTTTCGACTGTCTACATCTTTTCGTTAGTGTTTCCCCTGTGCAAAGGATCAACGCAGATACAACCTTCTTGTTTTTGTGTAGAATTACATACTTATTAGCTCACCTTGCTGAAAGGTCCAAGTGAGCTTTTCTCATCACTTGTCGTCCGTCGTC